TTGAGAGTGATATGATATTTTTTCCTATTTACATTTTGGTGAGCAGTGGAATTTTATCGTCCATTCCCTAAAGTTGTTTTAATCAAGTTTGGATTCGATTCTTTTGAAGGCGATTCTAAGGACATCATTATCCATGATACTTTTGTGGTATCATGGAATATAAAATTATTAAAATTTGAGTAAAAGGAAGAAAGAGAGTGTTTTTGATTGAAATAATGGGTGTATTGAAATATAAAATTAATAAAATTTGAGTAAAGAGATGAGATAGTTGATATTTTTGGAGAGAGAATATCAAATAGTGGATATTTTTGATATTTTTGAAGTGTATTTTTAATAATTTTATATTTAAAGAGAATATAAAATTAATAAAAATTGAATAAAAGGATGAAAGAGAAGGTATAAAGTTGAGTAAAAGGAAGAGAAAGTGTGTGTTTTAATAATTTTATATTTAATGATTCCCATAAAAGATGATGGATAAGGATGCTCTAAGTCAAACGTAATGGTAAAGTCTGGTCCACTTTGCCTTTTTTTGTTAAAACCAAAAAAGTAGAGCATGATAATGTTTAGGAGAATCAGAAATTAGAGAGGTAATCTACTTGCACCTACTTAATCCTCCTATCTTTTGATTTTATTTTTATGACACAAAAGTTTATCTTTTGAAATTGTTTTCGATAATCGGTGTGAACCAATAATATTTTTGAACTTTGTAAAAAATCAAATATTTTTTCATTTAAGATGTTTACAATAATAATAAAAAAACCACTACATTTTTCTATAGATGTGAAATTTGATCTCAGCCTTTAATCTACCGTATTGTATTCTATCAACTGATTCAATTCTACCAAATCATTGGAACGCATGCTACTGATATTATTATAGTGTTGCATGTATATTCCAACAACGATTGTCATCGGAATTATTTTTAATATAAGAAGATATGAAACATTTTTTTCTTTATATGGAAAGATGTGTGTATATGAATGTGAGATTAGTGAAGGCGTCGCATTGCATTCACATTTAACGCAGCCAATCATGTTTTTTTCT